AGCAGCGTACTGGTACGGGTCGTCGCCGTGGCAGTGGTAATGGTAGTTCCACCGGTAGTGGCACTGGTAGTAGTAGTGGTGGTTGTAATCTGGTAGTGGTTGTGGTAGTATGGAAATGCGTGTACGTACAAAGAAACAAATAACCAAGGTTCAGGAAGTGACGATTCCAGGCCCGTCGCCATGCTTGGAATATACGGGTTGCAGCTAGTAGCTTTCCGCGTTTTGTTCATACATCGTACAGTCAGAAGCACAAACATCACCCACCGGACCGGCGGTTCGCCATGCTTGAGAACATACAGAATCATACAGGTCGCAGCAACTTGCCGCCCCAGAGCAGTACATGTTTTGTTGCAGCTATTTGTTAGTCCCAGAACTGAGGACCTTGCAGGAAGCACTCACTGTACTACATGTGTGCTGAAACACACCAGCTGAAGGCCCCGAACTCCAGGAGTTTTTGGGTAGCACTGCGCGTACCGCATTTTCATTCGAACACATGGGTTTGGAAGAAACGCAGCCTTTGAGAACGGTCCGCATAGTAAATTTGCACTGGAAAACAGCACAGGCCATATTTGTATTCGAACGCATCTGTTTGGAGACCCCCCAAACTTTAAGAACCCTGCAGAAGCGTTCCGCGCATTTGGGGAGTCCAAAGCTCGAGCAGTTTTCGGGGAAGAACGCCAGCAACGACGAGGAGACCACAGCAAAGCACCGGCAGTGCCACAACACCAGGAGAACACCAACAGCAAGCATCACGAAGGAGACCGCAAGAGACGACCAAGAGACCACTAAGCGACACCAAGATAGCTTCCAGAGAGCACAGGAGAGCATATAAAGACCACTCAGGACGAGCACTGCGACAGGACGACCGGAGACCATCACCGAGACCATCACCAGACCAGGAGACCACCCTCACAGCATAAGAACACCGGGAGATCGTCGTGTCATGGCTGTCCTGGTGGTCGTCGGTGCTTTGGTCGTCGGGTTGTGGTCGTCGTGGTGCTGAAAAAAAAAACGTACTGCATGGGGGTCTGCAGATGCACCATATATGAATAAGGCACACACTGCAAGTGGTATGCCAAAAGCGGCGGCTGTACTCGTTCGTCGTCGTGGTTGCAGTGGCACCAAGTGGTATACGCCTATTCGAATCAATGTCTCGAGATCGTAAAATGTAATAGCGCGGCAAGTCAAGAATCGTACTAATCGTCGTGCTCGTCGTTGCCGCAGCTGCGGTACGGGCAATTGCAAGCAAGCTTGCATGTGAGCCGTGGAGGCGAGGTGGCAAGCCTTCGCGGGCGGTGTGAATGCCTAGGCTACCGGTCAATGCCTCTTCGTGCCCTGTGGCAATGCACTCTGCGCACCACCACTTATGGAGGCGGCAGTCCAACATCGTGCCCGTACCCTTCGGCGCCGACCGCTTTGCTGCGAGAGAGCGTGGTCGGCTTCACACAGATCTGGGAAGCGTCCGTAACCGCGGTCGTTGCCCCTGACTGCGAATCGCGAGAGCCAACAGCAAGCTCATGCCAGAAGAAAACGTTTGCAGCCACCGACTTTGGCGATTTTGCTGCATGAGTGCGAGGGGTGACTCTGTTGTATTTGGGCTTGACTCGTCTCGTATCTCTCTCTGTAGCTCTTTTGCCTTTTTGTTTTTTGCTTCTCTCTCTCTCCCTATTTATATGTTTGCTTCTTACATGTGTTGCTTTCCTTTGTTTGCTTTCTCTCTCCCTCTCTCGTTCTGTCTCTCCCTCTCTCTATACATGTGTATATATATATACACATACATACATACATACATACATACATACATACATACATACATACATACATACATACATACATATGTATATATAGCAACGTTGGAAAATCCTGATTCCCCAAAACCCAAGCGGGCGACAAACAAGTCGCTGGCCTTTGCTTGCGACGAGCCTTGTCCTGCTCGAGTCAGGACACTAGGTTCTGGCGACACGTACCACGTACCGGAGCCGAACAGCGAAATGTTGCAGCAAACTGTGTTTCAGTCTCCGCCGACACATGTTCATACCAGTCGTCTTGACACTTCGCACGGATGTTTCTGCCGGTAGGTTGTGTGACAGAGTTATAATTAAGCATGATATGTTAAGCGCATGTGCCACATAACATACGCAGTTGCAGCTGTGACAACATCGTGCATGTTGGCAACACACGCCGCGGGAATGTTGATGTGTATAATAGGCGCGAATGTAAAGCGACTCGAACACCAAATAGAAAGGATACTTACCGCATGCTCTGCTGCTGGCGTTCGGACGCATGCCGTTCCCGGACAGAGATGTGTAGATGGCATTCTCCGTGCGGAGGAAGTGGAGTGACACTGGGATGGTTCATGAAGGCACCATGTATACATCTGTGTATACATATACAGATACAACTACACATACATATGCATAAACACATACACGAACACATACACACATAAACACTCAGACATACCGTCCTGCTATGCGATTGCAGGACAACTGATGGCACGCAGTCGACGAATGCATGGATAAGACACACAATGTTCAGTATGCAAGAGCACAGGAGCATCGTGTGCTTATAGTATACACACGTGAACATACATGTACGTAAACACATGCTGTCATTTGTATGACGGAACGCTAACTTGCGAGAAGCAACGCAGGCAGATTTGCTACAGTCTGAGTTCCAGCCTGTGACACAAGATGGACACGTCAAGTCTGTTTGAGTTCGCCAAGCACATGGCCAATCAGACAGATGTTATCCGCCTAATAACCTGTCGAAATCATGGATGTCACTGGTATCGGTCTTTTCTGAGCGGCGTGCTGGCTTCTACGGTCCTGTGGTCCAGTGACAGCAAACGCAAACGCAGGGTCGCAGGGCCCTTTTCGAGGTCTGACGGAGGTTTCAGGGTTGCAAGGCACACTGGGGCAACATGTTGTTCACATCACCCACAGGTGTGAATGCCCTTGCCCCTCGCCCAGGAGCACAGATGGCCTAACCCGAAATTCAGAGCAAGAAACTCCGAAATCTACATCCCAAACCTCCCAAACCCTGAACCTGGACAACCACAACTCGACAATCTCTACCGTGAACCCCCCCGAAAGCGTTCAGAATCGGACGAAGGCCATCGACGCGCAGTTCCTGCCGAAACTCAATGCAAGCTTTCGAAAACTAAGGACTATTTATTCTATATAGTTGAATTTGATGTCTTGACTACTGAAAAATCTAACGATCATCATCACAGGTACGGTGTTGAGACGAAGTGACACCAAAAAACAAACCTACAATGATGACAACGAAACCACATTCATATTGACATTGCGGCCATTGCACAGCTACAAAAGCACTCATGGCAACTATTGCAGGCTTCGGGCCAAAAATCGACACAGAGTCAGAACTGCTACAGCGCGAACAAGGATTCCTTCCAAAGGCCCATTTAAGAGTAGGTCTCCAATACTTTCTCAAAAAACCTCATGTAAACAGCAGTGGCATCCAAGACTGTCTGGATCAAGGCTGAGGGAGCCCAATCAAACCGATGGGGCTTGAGGCTTTAGGACTACCCTAAAATGAGCTAGGACTCGGTTCATGCATATGGGCTTCAAGGTTGCTTGAATTACTTCATGATGGGTTGCCGGGCTCTCAAACTACTACGTAACAATCACCCTTCGGCCCTGGTGATCGTGTATAGTTCATAGTGTTAGTACAAAAGGAACACTACTGGGCTTGGCGATATGCATCGAGCAATCCGCCGCATAGCAGTCTGAGTAATACCGGAACGAGACTAAAATCTAAAATCTATCAGAATCAAGCCCAAAGCCACTGTCAACAAGAACCCCGACCGTCAACCCGGGCAGCCAGACAATCCCCAGAAACGTTTCAAAGTTATAGAACCCAAAGGGTCTAAGTACCCATATAGTTGGTATTTTGAGCCCCAAAGGACCTACCATATAAGTACTTAGACCCTTTGGGGAAGCTCCTTCAAGGGGTTCCTTTATGTTTTGGGGCAGTGCCCGCGGCTTCTCTGGTGTCTTTCCCACCGGGTCCCCTCAAAGCCTGCAGCTCCAAATCCTAACACCCCATACCGTATCAGTATTAGGGTTTAGGGTTTAGGGTTTAGGGTTTAGGGATCCTAGACCAAGCCTTCAAGGAGCCTAAACCCAGTCTCCTGGGCATATGCATCGAAGGCATCCTCAGGCAGAAGACCCCCACATGTGCAGCGTGCAGACGAGCCCGCGAGAACCGAGGTACATATTCAAGACATCAGTTTGTACTTCTGCTTTCACATTGCAAAATGATTATATATGGGGTTAGGATAGATAGATAGATAGATAGATATATATATATATATAGATATATACTATAAATATATATATATATATATATACATATGTATATATATATATATACATATATATATATATGTATATATTTATACACACATACCCCTGAACCCTAAACCCCATCAGCCCTAAACTGTTAGAAGGGTGTGGGAATCTCACTTGAAGAGCCTCCATCCTTCATTTTAGGGAAGGCCTGGTCACCTCACCGGCACCGCAGGGGTCCACGTAAGGTAGGGGCCTTGATGCTTAGAACAGGGCTTTGGCGCATATTATACTAGAACTATAACTATTATATATTAGGGAGCCCTAAGGAATCAGGAATCGTAGTGGTAATTATGGATAACTGAAGCTTCTACACCAAGATTTAGGGCACCAAGTTGTACAGCGAATCTGCGCTTTCTGTCGAGCTAGAGCCGAGCTGATTATGCATGACCACAGGTTCTTGAACACTTTTAAGTTTAAGCAGAAGAGAGTCCATCAGGAGCCTGTCTTGGTTAGGGATGTCGATGTGAGGCCTCATTTTGTGAGGAGTGTGTTCTGCAAGCGTGGCGGACCCAACAGCACCAAATACAAAGTCAAAAACGGTCTTTTAAACAACTCTCACCCTGAGCACGGAGCATGGAATCGCGCAACAAGGCTGGGGAGGTGCGCTCTTTCAGCTAGAGAGGCTTGTGCAAATTGCAGCAGGGCATCTGAACCCAAGCAAATGTGTCCACGTCGTAGACTTCCACAGTGCGGACATCCTGCCGCCCATAGCTACCTGCAAAGAGGTTTCGAGTTCCACGCTTGACTGCAGTGCTGTTGAAGCGAGGTGTTCTCCGCCCAATTCTCTCACATGGTGGGGTGTGGAGAGCATTAACAGAAGAGGAAGCCTCAGCTAATAGCAACGGACCCCTCCGTCCTTTTGCACGGCACTTACCGACTTCGTGCAGACTTCTCTGCTCTTGTGGCAAGCTCGATGGGATAACATAGGACTGCTGTAAGCAGCGCACGCCGCATCTGAATGACTAAATTACCGCATGGGGAATCCAAGGAGTTTAGAGGCAAAGCAACCTCCAGTAGCCAGCTGGCCAAACATCCTGAAACAGGGCTTTTGGAGAGCAGAAACGCTTCGAAAGAGGAGCACGAGCCGAGTATGTACATGTTTGTATCCATCCATCCACGCACGCCTGCTTGCCTGCCTGCAACTGCCGGAAACCCTGTAGAAAACTCTTACAGCACTATGGAGCCCTTATACAGAACAACCCAAAACACAACGTGGGAGGAAAACCTGCAACAAAAAACTCAGAGCCATTCAGACGCAGTCCACATCTAAAAAGGTCCCACAACACCCTTTCCAACCCTGACACTGAGCCCTGAACCCGACCAGCTGTAAACCCCTGAAATCCCAAAGCCCGAAACCCAAAAACACGGAGGCACAATCTCGAAGCCTAATCCCTGACAAAACAACCCTAACCTCCCAGGTACCTACTATATGGGGCCCTAGGGGCTCTAGTACCCTATATAGTAGGTATCTGGGGGTTAGGGCAAGCTCCAAGTGTTTCAACCCTGGAGGCCCTTGAAAATCCTCTTCCTTCCTAGATAAGCACTGAAACCCTTCTCTAATTCCTTGAAAGGTCCGCAAACCCTTATGCCAAAACCCATCTAAATCCTGCAAAGGCCCCACCCCTCCCACCAAAAATACACACAGACACACCTGTATATATATATATATACATGTATATAAGTATATACATACATATATATATATATATATGTATATATATATATATAAACATGTATATATATATATATACATCTCTCTCTCTCTCTCTCTTTTCCAGACCTCCGCAAACCCAGAGCTGCCCCTCAAGGGCTGCGGCGGCGACACCGTGGCGCCGCTGGGGCATCGGCGCTAAGTCCTGACTTTCAGGGGCTCAGAGTTTCGGGCTTGGGTTCTATCCCAAAGGGTCTAAGTACCCATATAGTAGATATTTTGGGCCCCAAAGGACCTACCATATAAGTACTTAGACCCTTTGGGTATGGGCTTATAGGCTTTTTGGGGCTTATAGGCTTGTTGGGGCTTAGGGTTCCGGGCTTATAGGCTTTTTGGGGCTTTAGGCTTCTTGGGGCTTAGGGTTCCGGGCTTATAAGCTGTTTGGGGCTTAAAGGCTATATGTGGCTTATAGGCTATATGGGGCTACTAGGCTTCAGGGATTAAGAGGCTCAGTGAGGAGTTATATGGGTTAGCATTCAGAGATTTGGGGTGCCGGTAGAAAGGCCCAGAGGTTCGGCTTGTAGGGTTTTAGGGTTTTAAGGTTTGGGTTTTGCAGGGTCTTGTAGGGTTTTTAGCGTTCGTAAGGTTTAGGGTTTATAGGGTCTTAGGGTTTTAGGGTTTTTTCGGTTTAGGGTTTAGGATTTTCGGGTTTAGCGTTTATAGGGTTTCTAGGGGTTTAGGGTAGAGTTCAGTAGATCTAAACTCCTTATAAACCCCAAACCCTCACCCGGGTCCAGGGTTTCGGGTTTAGGGCTGAGCGTTCAGGGTTTAGGGCGTAGGGGTTCAGGTTTTGGGATGCGAGATAAGAGTCTGCCAGCGGCGCCCCTTGCTAATTAGAATCGGGTCTTGAAGTAGCTTATGGTATCATGATACCTTAATTCAGGTCCCCTACATCAAACCCCAAACCTGCGCAAAAAGAAATGATACTAAAACGTGACAGGAACTCCTATAGCAGCTACAGTAGTCCTTAAAGCCTAAACCCCTAAACCCTAAACCCAAAACCCAACACCCCTAAACTCTGAACCCTAAACCACAAAACCCTCAACCCTAAAAAAGGAGCTCTGAGCCCTCCAAGTTTCTGGATGTAGGCTGCTGAAGCGCAGCTTCTTGGAGGTTCCGAAATACCCAAAAGGGGGACACTTACGAAAACCATAAAGGTAGCTCCTGCTATAAAAACCCCACTGTCTACTATCTATCTATCTATCTATCTATCTATCTATCTACCTATCTATATATACTGTATATAAATATAAATATAAATATAAATAAATAAATAAATAAATATATATATATATATATATATAGGTACTTAGGACCCTATGCGGCTTTCAGAGTTCAGTGCTGGAGTTTTGGGCGTCCTCCCAGTGCCCGAGACGAGGATCGAAACGCTCCACTGACCTCAGGACCTCCGCGTAACAGCGAGGTGTTCCCAAGGGTTCAAAGGTTTAGATCGTGGGGTTCCCTAAACCCTTGACCCTTATAAGGGGGTGTAGGGTGGTTTCTGAGGGTTGGCTCTGGAATTGAAGGGTCGAGGATTTTGGGGGGGCTTTAAGACTGTGGGATTTAGGGTTTAGGACTTGCGGGCCTTCGTGAAGGAAGAAGGGAAGAGTGGGGAGAGCAACAAGAGGAAACGACAGCAACGAAATCAGCAAGATACAACTAATTAGGGCCATCGGAACAATGTAAATGCCACGAATACTGACCGTCGAGACTGTTGATCCTCATGCCTGGTCATTGTGATGAAGGCCCGATATAACGGTCATCCTTTCTTGGGGACATCTCAAAGCCAGTTGCTTGATTTCTGGAGCATCCCTCCCATCGCACGCGACGGATCCCAGATAAGTTATGCTTTCGACGGGGGGGGGGGGGGTATGGCTTTACACTTCAGCTACACGCGACAAGTTGCAAACACCAATCGAGACACGATAAATTTGAAAGTCAATAAATGTCGAACAAAGCTGCTGCTGTTACTATCGGCGGCGCCCTCCGTTGCACAGCACTCAGCTCAGTAAGCTATGTAACTGACAACTTACTTTTCCAGCATCCTAGAGGATTTAGAAGTTAACTTTTGGGATTTTGTAAGTACAGGGGTGATGAGACCCCAAAAGGGTTAAAGGTTAGCTACTCTATACCGTAAATCCTAAACCTAAACCCTAAACCCTAAACCCTATACTACTAGGATAGCACACAGAACCGGGAGCCCTGCTTCGATTTTGCCTTTAAGCTGCTCCAATCGAAGCCCTACGTTCCTTTGTGCAGCAGCCACAGATCGGAGTACTGGCTTCGCCCCTGCATGCCAAGAAGAATCAGGGCGGTAAGAGCCTAGGGTTTAGCGGTTAGGGGTTTAGGGGTTTAGGGCAAGTTTAGGGTTTAGGGCCAGGGCCAGCGAGAATCACAGGACGGGGTAGTGATAGTGGAATTCGCGTTGAAAGAAGTGCAGCAAGGTGCAACTTGTGAACTCTGTCGTGTGTTGTCCAGGAGAACACGATCAATCAACCGAAATCGTGTCCGCAAGCCCACCCCAGAGAGGTCCATTCTCTGAAACGACCGAGTCAACCCTGAATAGGGCTCAGGGCCATGAAGACGGCTTAGGGTGGGAGAGGGTTCTTCATCACTCCACTGGCGCTTTGGGGGGGGGAATAGTGTGACTACCTCTACGTTGTGGCGGGTATGCTTCAAGTACATACCGACTCACGGAACCGTCTGGCATGCAGAAGTGCGCCCGCTGGGACGGGTAGCTAGAGCTCATCGCTGGTCCTTGACCGACTCTACTGGACAGCTTGGTATTTTGTGCACTCTTTGTTCCTGTCATAATAGGGTTTAGGGTTTAGTTTAAGGTTTAGGGTTTAGGGTTTGATTAACCGTTGCTCTTGCTGCTAATATGATCAGCATTAGTGCGGCTAGCAACCCACCGATGACGTGCAACCAGGCGAGCCAATAAGCCGGAGATAGGTATGCAACAATGCGTAATAACGAAAATAGGAGCCTTAATAAGTAGGGTTTGCGTTGTAGTTTGCAACAGTCTTTAGAACAAACACCATTTCATAGTACATTATGGAGCTTTTAAGGCGTCTTATAAATGAATCCTTAATCGTATTCTAGAGGAAGCTTACCAGGAACCTTACAATACCATGCCAAGACCCAGACTTCAAGCAAGACGTTGCCTTGCTCGCGCGCTGTAGGAAGTGCGAAGAGTCGGTGACTGGATACTTTCAATTTTAGAGGTTTAGAGTCTCTAGGGTTTAGGGTTTAGGGTTTTAGGGTTGAGGGTTTAGGGTTTAGGGTTTAGGCTTCATGGAGCTGTGGAGCACCCTAAGCCCTGAAGCCCTAGCCCGTAAAACCCTTAAACCCTTAAACCTTAACCCCCAAATCCCCCCCAAAGCCCTAAACCGGAAAACCTTAACCCCCGAAGCCCTAAACCCTAAATCTGAAAACCCCCAAAAGCCTCGGAAGGTGGCATGGATTAGCTGCACTTTGCAGACCAAGCCTCGATGACACGCCCCTCCCGGGCCCGACTTCTGCTGCATCCGAGGGCTTTACATTAGAGGGCTGAGCATACTATAGCCAAGTAGGCTTCACAGACAGCCCGAACCCCTCAATGCGGCAACAAGGGGGGTCACGAGGCTTCGTCGGGCAGCGACCGAGCGCAAAGCGAACGACAGCAGCAGCTTTCGGTGGAGGGGGGTAGGGTTCAAGCGCTTAGGGATGGACAAGGCTCAGTATAAGGGTACTATCTTGTCTAGGTTTGGGGATCTATTAAAAACAGGCCTGAGGGAACTATAAGGGCCTAGGGTTTAGGGTTATATATCTAGGTCTTTAGAGGGTTTAGGGGTTTCAGTGTTTAGGGGTCTCGGGGTTTACGAGTTTTAGGGTTCAAGGGCCAAAGGATTCAGAGATTAGGAAACCACTAGCTCACAAAATTCAGGGCTTAAGCACTTTAGCACTGAATGCCTCAACTTGTAGCATCCCAGTCCAGGGTTTGGGGCTTAGGGGTTTAGGGGTTTAGGGTCTTTACTACGGTTTCGGGTTTTTCAATCGCCAGAACGACCGGGCAGGCTCATAATTGCTTAGGCAGTGCTGGCCTCGAGGCCTTAGCGAGTCTTACTGGAAGCTTAAGGTAGTCGTGGTCCACTGGTGGTTCTCAAAACTTACATGTACTCCGGCACGCAGTGGTGTCTCTTGCTTGAACCAGAGAGGCAACATTAGGCGAAAGTAGCCATTGACGGGATTTGGAGCTCGAGCTTCCCCGGCAAGTGGGGTTTAAAGCTTAGGATTTCGGGTTTAGGGCCTGTAAGTGGTGTCGTCCTGCGCACCGCTAGTTGGGTGGTATGATGAATGCGTTTTCTGCAGAGGTGTCTTTGACACCAAACGCTGTACACCTAAAGGCTCCGAGGGCCACCTGCTTCTGTGCCCCAATATACTGCCTCGTCAGAGCTCTCGCAACACTGTATGATCTACTGTACTATTTCATGCTGCAAGGCAGAGAGCCCTCTGAGCCCGACGCATGTGCCATGTGGCGCACTGGTACGTGCGCCAATCCGGCACAGCTACTGTCCGGAAGATCCGAAAGGACAGTGGCTTGGGAAGCTTTTGGGTTAGGGTGCTTGGCATGGCGTCATGTGGTGCTGGTCGTCGTCGCCGTGTGTCGTCGTCGTCGTCGTCGTAGAAGTAAACGTAGTAGTAGTAGTAGTAGTAGTAGTAGTAGTAGTAGTAGGTCGTCGTCGTCGTCGTCGTCGTCGTCGCAGTAGTAGTAGTAGTAGTAGTAGTAGTTGTTGTAGCAGCAGCAGCAGCAGCAGTAGTCGTACGACTACTACTAGTACTATTAGTATTACTCGGGGTGAAAGGTTGTGCTGATAGATTTTTCAATCTGGGTTGCGCTCGATGGCCCGCGGGCATTTCATGGTCGAAGCCAAGCTCCACATGGGTAGTTCTCTCAATTAGGGTCCCTGTTTGAATCCCCAATGTAGTACGGCACCCTTGTAAAAAACACCCTAAAAACATAAAAAAGGACCCTAAAAGGGACCCGAATTTGGAGAACTACCCACATAGCTGCACTCCCTAAGGCTCCTTGTGCCTACATAATATGTATATATGTATGTGTATATATATATATATATATTCAGCCTGGAAGGG